CATGTATTCAATATAGTGGCCTTCTGTAGTGTGATGTATGTATTTCTATTCAATTCTAATGTTTCCAGGCTTTTGTGTAGTGTGTGTGGTATCACACCTGTACAGGAGAGAACAACAGGTACAATAACTACCCTATCCATCCTCCACAGATGCCTTATTTCCTGGGAAGTTCTGTGTACTCGCTAATTTTTTCAGTGCATGTGTTTTGTACATTGTGAGTGTTTGGAATGGCTATGTCTATAATGTATGTGATTTTACTGTGTTTGTCAATGAGTGTGATGTCTGGTCTGTTGTGGTAAATTGTTTTATCTGTGATTATGGCTCTGTCGTAGTACAGTTTGTGTGTGTTGTTTTCCAATACTGTCTGTGGAATATACTTATTATTATTATTATTACATTGGTTAAAGTCCCAGGAAAATGCATACTAGAGATTAAGTAAAGGTTCGGATAATTGAATACAGTCGACCCCCCCCTATAAGATATAGATATGTTCCAATTTATTAGGAATCCGATTTCTTACAAGTCGTTCCAATCACAGCCCGACACGTGTCAAGTTTACGGACTACGGCTGATTGAAAGGTTTTCTTCCATAAAATTAATCGATTCTACACTAATCCGACTCAACATTTCCAAAATACGTATATTTTTTCGTAGTTTTATAGGAATCGTAATTATAGGGATCGTAATTATAGGGGGGGTCGACTGTATTTTTAACAGTAATAAAGGTTTTTAAATTTGCATCCTTTTACCTCTTAACAAATGCTAGTCTTTGAAACAATTGTAATTCTCTAAATTTATAGAGGGTTACAGATCTATATTCTGTGGGAACTGTATTTTATGGTGCTATTGATCATTCACATAAATTTATATTGAAGATGGTGCTTAAATGTCTAAAGTCATAAGGAAGTACGAGCTTGCTCTGGAATCTCAACAAAGTTAATGAAAGCACAAAATCAAATCAGTTCTTCGTAATGGAGGAACTTTTGGTTATCTGTTTTAATTATTTAACTTGGAATTGGAACAATTTAGGTAATAGGTACAGTAATACCCCGAACTTGCACGATAGGTGGGACCAAGCAATAACCACATAAGTTGGGTATAATTTCGCATATAAATAAATACATAAAAATTATTTTTAATTGGGGCCGGAAACTAAAGAAAATAATTTAGAAAAAAATGTTTAATAAAATCTTATATAATACATATGTATAACAAATTATATTATTAAAATCGTAAACCAAAGTTGTTTTGATGTAGATGGCTTCATAAAATCTAACAAATTCGTCTGACGGCTCAAAGATTTGTTTTCTCTTGCAAAATTTCCTCATAGCATGCTAATAATTTTTTCATTTCTCATTTTGTAGAAGAAATGCACTCTTTGTTGGAGTCTATATTTTCTGAAATTTATAACCCGTTTTCAATTGAACTGAGGCCTTCTGTCAAGTTTCCAACCGTAATTCTATCTTCTGATTGAACTGGGTCTAAAGAATCAAGTTCTTCAATGTCTTGCTCTTGCTCACGCATTTCTATAAGCTCATCAGTTGTCAGCTCCTGATTGTTGGAATCCAGCAGTTCTTGAACATCATCACTATCCATTTCTAAATTTATTTTCCTGGCAAGATCGATAACTTCTTCAATCAAATTACCAATTTCATCAGGCTCTGGCACTGATTCGCCTGAGTTTTAGTGGTGAAAAAAAAGGACATAGTTTTTTCCAGATGCCATTTAAAGTGTTTTGTGAAATGTCATTCCAAGATTGTCCAATGATTCTCACTGCATCTAAAACATTGAATTATTTCCAAAAGTCTTTAACAGAGAGCTCATTGTTTTGTCTCATAGCTTCATGCAGATGTGAAAACGATCATCTCGTTTGAATGTTTTGATGACTTCCTGATCCATCGGTTGAAGCAAGCAGGTTGTATTTGGTGGTAAAAATACAACTTTCACACATGGGTCAAACTTAAAGTTGCAGGGGGATGACCAGGTGCGTTTTCGATTATTAGCATCACTTTAAATGGAATTTGTTTAGATTGGCAATAACGTTCGACTTCAGGTATGAAGTGATGACCAAACCAGTCCTCAAAAAGGGAAACTGTCACCCAAGCTTTACAATTCAACTTTCAAATCACAGAGAAGCCAGCTTTAGATTTATTTTTCAATGCTCTTGGATTTTCTGAGCAATAAACTAAGAGAGGTTTTAACTTACAATCACCAGCTGCATTCGTGCCAATCATCACGGTCAACCAATCTTTGGTGGCATTAAAACCTGGAAAGGTTTCTCTTCACGCGCGATAAAAGTTCTTTTAGGCATCTTCTTCCAGAACAGGCCAGTCTCGTGTACGTTGAATATGGTTTGGCTGGTATAGCCACCTTCATCTATCATAGCTTTGAATTTCTCTGGATAGTAAGATGCAGTCTCTTTATCAGCATTTGCCACATCTCTACTTTCTGCAATGCTATGCCAATTACAGCGACTTTTGAATCGGCTGAACCAACCGTTACTAGCTTTAAACTCTTCATCTTTAGCTACTTCTCCAGCATCCTCTCTTTCAATCTTTCAAAAATCAGCTTAGCTTGAGAGCACACTGTGTTCTGATCAACAGGACAATTTTTCACGTTTACTTGATTATCACACCATAATTTTAACATTGTTTCCATCTCAACGATAATACAGTGACATTTACGAATGATGCTTGAATTTAAAGATTGAGCATTTTTCACAGCTTTGAGAATTTTTTCTTTACCTTTTATAATTGTTCTGACCATCGATTTCAGTAGATCAAACTTCTTTGCCAATTCACAAATTTTTATTTTTGTATCGAAGTCTTTAATAATGTTAACTTTACTTTCCAAAGATAAAGTTTTTATTTTCTTGTTTGATGCAGAAGAATCAGTTCTATTTTGTTTGGATGACATAGTAGAGTTTCTCGAGTCTCCGTAGATATAACAAACACAGAAATTAATAACACAAAATAAATTGTAGCTATGCGTCAATTCCGCACGACACGTCCTAACATGTAAGCTGAACAATAGTGTGGGGGGAATGAGTAATCAAGAGTTGCGTGGTGCTGAAACAAAAGACGAGTCGACGAGATTTGAAAGTCGCGTAATTCCAGGTTTGCGTAAGTTGAGGTATTACTGTATTTTATTATTTGCTTATAGTATTTCTGTGACATATGATGGATGTCTATATTTTTAAATTAATCTAAATTTTATTTTTGTATGGAAAATTATTTATTTATCATGATAAAATTATATTATTTTTTATATTTATGTAAACGGAACTTTTTAATCTTATTAAAGCATTTTCAATATAAGTATATATTTATAGAATTCCAATTTTTTTTATTGCATTTTAAAATTATTAAATTAATATTTTTAGCTAATATGCAAAGTAATGGAGATGTATCAGCCAAGTGCTGTGGTTCTTCAATGCGGTGCTGACTCGCTGTCCGGAGATAGACTTGGTTGCTTTAATCTCACATTAAAAGGACATGGAAAGTGTGTGGAATTTGTGAAAAAGTACCAAATGCCACTTCTGTTGTTGGGAGGAGGAGGATACACTATTAGAAATGTTGCTCGATGCTGGACTCATGAAACATCTGTAGCCTTGGGAGTGGATATTGCCAATGGTATTTTTTTGACGTGACTTAATTAAATTGTTAAATCAATTCCAAATTATTTTCTGTATAATTTTAGAATTACCGTATAACGATTATTTTGAATATTTTGGACCCGATTTCAAGTTGCACATCAGTCCTTCAAATATGGCGAATCAAAACACACCAGAATATTTAGAGAAAATTAGGTAGGTACCTTTATTTTTTGGATAACATTATTCAATTATATTACTTATTGTAATTTTGAAATCTTTTTTAATTTTGAAGAACTCGGTTATTTGAAAATCTCCGCATGCTTCCTCATGCTCCGGGGGTACAAATGCAACGTAAGTGTTTCGTCAAGCTGAATATTTTCCTTCTGTTTCATTATTTTTAACAATAATTTATGAGAACTTTTGATGCATTGTTGATTACAATATTAGGATAGTCATTGTGAATTAGATTAAGCAAATTTTAATACTATATCTCATAAAAATATAAAGATGAAATGTTATATTTAATGACATTATTTTTGAAAACTATACTTTAAATAACAATGAATATAACAGTCACATAAAACTGATTTAAAGATTATTATTGACTTCGCACTGGTTGTAATGTTTATGTTGTAGAAAATCTGCTCTAATCTTTCTAAATGTTTTTTATATATAAAAGGTACTCCTGCCAGTCCTAACTAATTATTGTATAAGTCATTTGGATTATAAGGTCGTACACAAAGAAAGTGAGTCAAAAAGTGACAAATGCAGGTTAATTTTTAAAAGTGTCGAAATTTCTTTTTGCTTTTGGCCAGAATGTTTATTAGAATTGGTTCAGATTAGCAAGAATTCACTGTATAAATCAAAATTTTATTTTTAAGATTATGAATTTTAAAATTTTGATATGTTTATATACTTGTGTAATTTGTATTTATCTTATTTAAAACTTAATAGAAGGATAATTCTTTCATTTCTGTCTTGAACAACTATACATTTCTGCTTCTGCTAACTCAATGCCATTTTATTACATTTACACAAAGCACTTTAGTTCTTTCCTTTATGTCAGCTTTGCATTTGTGTAGCAGTTGATATTTTGGAACTTTTGGCCAATGAATTAAGTTATAAATAATTTGTAATAAAATTATATTTGACTAAGTGCTGCTATATTTTAATTTACACTGTTACTAATACAGGCATAATCTGAAGTTTACAGTATTTGATTTTGAGTTACATATATTTTCCATATACTACTGCCTGTGCAAGGCATTACCACTATAGTATAAACTATATAACTTTACTAATAGCTATTTCATCATAACAAATGCATACATAATTATATGTGCTGTTGTCTAGCAGTCTTTGATAACATTTTGCAGATTTGACAATACTAAAAGGGGAATCAATAGTTGTAGAGATGTAACAGTCAGAGATACTGTAGATTATAAACTAGACTGCCCTTGCTCAACAGCAAACACCAAGAATTTTATTTTTTATATTGAAGTTAATTGTACCATTCCATTTACCACTACACCAATTAGGAGAGACAGTTTAGTTTCAGATATAGAAAATTTGTTGATGGTGTGGATTGACAATGAAATAGGAAGAAATGTGGCTTTGAGCCAGGTTGCAATTCAAAGTAAAGCATAAAGCCTCTTCAATGATCTCAAAATTAAAAAGGTGTGAGACAACTAAAAATGCTGCATTTGGAGTGAGTAAAGGGTGTTTTGATAACTGTAAGAGAAGAAACCTGCAACATTAAAGTGCAAGGAGAGGTTGCAGGTGCAGATATAGTAGCTGGAAACATTTCCATTTGAACTGATAAAAATTATACATGAGGGCTAATTAAGGCAAACATCAAACCTTTAATGTGAATGAGATGGTCCCACAGTGGAAGAAAACACCTTCCAGAAAGGGGATTTTCTTCTCTAGAAATGAAGTATGTGGCTTTGATGTGTCAAAAAATGCTTATCCTGTGTTAGGAGCAAATGCATTGTGACCTTAATTTGATTGCAGAAAATTAAAGTAAAAGTAGCCTTCCTGTAATTTGGAAGTCAAATCCAAGGCATAGCTCACTGAAACCTACTTTGAAGAGTAGTTTACATGCCACTTATTCCTGCCATTAAAACGTTTTGCAGATAGCAAATTTAAAATTTTGTTTATTGTCAACAATGCTCCTGATCATCCAAGAACTTCCATATTAGGATTAATCTCATCTAGTAATTGTTCTTCTGTCAAATACCATGGCTCTGTTCTAGCCAATAGATTGGAACAAAATAGCTGAACTTTTAAGTTCACCATTTATGAAGAACATTAACAAAATTAATTGCAGCCACTGATAGTGAAGAAGTGTTTAAAAAATTTTGGAAAGGTTTCACCATTTTGGATGGTGTTAAAATTATGAGAGTTGTATGACAGGATATTAAAATAACCACTCTCCAATAAATTGTGTTTGCAGTTATTTGATAACTTTGGGAATGTGATCTTTGAATTCTTCAACGTTATGCATAGTAGGCATGGCAACTGGAGTTAAAAATGAACTAAGGATGTAGCTGAGCTACCTGGTAGACATTCTTGGCCCTTTAACAATGAAATCTGTTAAAATTAGATGAACACAAGAGTGTCAGAAAAAGCATCTCTCACCAAAGTTAGACAGAGCTGACTACAAGTGTTTTTTTTAGAATCTTCCCAAAAAACATTACCTTAATTTTAAACAAAGTTCAAAAGTTAATTCATCCATTTCAAATGTTTATGCTAGCATACAAGCAAATATGGATATGTATGGAAAAAGCCAACATTACAAACCATACTATATTTACTGTTCATACATATTTTATAAACAGTAGACAGGAATTAGTGCCATTATTCATTTAGCAAATAAGGTATAGTCTATTTTACATACAAATGTTTTATTTACATTAGTTGCATACAAATTTCCCAATCCAGTGCACTTATATATGATTACTAGCTGTTACCCGCGACTTCGCCCGCGGAGGTTTTGCAAGCAAACCCCATTTATATTCAGTATTTCAACAACCATAGTAATTGTTATATAACACCTACCGCTGAGAATGATGAGAATTGCCGAGAATCAAACAAACAATTTTCAATTTGATCAATTTTCTGGAACGTTCACAATCGTTCTATAATTGAACCGATACACAATAACAAATTCGATTTTAAAACGGTTCGAACATTTTTGAAATCGAAATAGATAAAAATATTTATAACAATGTCTGAAATGTTATTAATTTAATACACTTAAGTACTCGATGAAGACTTAATCCTCCCCCTCTCCCCCGCGGGGGAATTTCGAAAAATCCCTTCTTAGTGTGCATTACCATGGCATACCCTACTAAAACACAGATAAAAACAAAAAATCGCATCTAAAATAGTACAGTAGAAGCCGTTTTTCCGGTTAAGCCTTAATCCTCTCCCCCCGCGGGGGAATTTCGAAAAATCCCTTCTTAGTGTGCGTTTTCATGACGTACCCTAACTGTGTACCAAATTTCACCACTTTAGGTTCAGCGGTTTGCTCTGGGCGATGATGAATCAGTGAATGAGTCAGTCAGGACAAGCAATTTTATATATATAGATAATGACTACAGTACATTACATAAATGAATACATAAAAAAAATACATTGCTTTAACTTGGACATTTTCAATTTATGAATGCACTCAGGAACCTAACTGCTGTAAAGTCTAGGTTTGTCTGTACTTAAGGTGAGTTTAACTAGATATGATTGCTATCTTACAAGGAGACCCTACGGCTTTTGATGATCTTTGGTGTAGAGGTAGTTCACCATGCGAGTGTACTACCTGTAAAATACTAAAGTGCAACACTCTAAGTTTCTTTTTCTCGATTATATTTAAGTTTTTTTCGCACTTTATATATATAAGTTACATGTTTTTCCGCTTGAGTGTCCTCTGGTGTGAGTGGTAACGCTCCTGACTCATACGCTTCAGTACTCGGGTTTGATTCTCTTGTGTATACTTTTTTGTTTTCCCTTTTTATTTTATTCATAGATACTTATTATGTATTTATTTATTTATAAATAAATGAATGAGTAAATTATTTTTTTGGTATTTTTTTATTATTTATTTATTTTAATTTAATTTCTACTATTCCAAGTCTAATATTTTTACTTTTGTTGACAATAACTGTGCATTCTTGACACCTATGTGCCTACTTTCCCATCTAATTGTTATCACCAATGGTGATCTGTGATCGGAGTTCTTTTTCACTCACTCTTTCAGTTCGTTTCTGAATTTCCACATGAATAGACATATTTGTGCAGTGAAATTTATTTTGAACAATTATTTTATAAATAAAAACATGTCATCAAGAGAAGCAAGTTCTTCACGTTGTGACGAAAAAACTGTTGACGATAACTCTTTATACAGTGATGTATCGAAGCAGCGGCTAAAAGATGGAGTAGTGTATTATGAGAGTTTACTTTCCGAAAATAATTTTAATTGCAACATCTTCTGATACACTATCTGAAAATGCTATGCTGATAAGCACAGAATTATACAATAATACATTGGATGTGTTGAATGAAAAAGATTTATAATTGTTGCAATTAAATTATTTTTGAAAAGTAAACTCTAACAAGGAACTTTAGCTCTAACAAGGAGACCCTTTGGGTTTCCTTGTTAGAGCTAAAAATCTATTTTGTATTGGAATTGAAACTAATCTTTCATTGAAGAGAAATATTTTGGCACAGAAGAGTTTAGAATCAAGAAACAATGACTTGTTTAATGTTTTAATATAAGATTACAAATTTGATTGATTTATGAAACTTTATATGAGAGAGAAATTATAAAATATTGTGATAACTTTTAGCTATACCCGAGGATGCAATTGACCAAGAGAGTGAAGACGAAGACAAGCAGGATCCTGACGAACGAATCAGCATCAGAGCATCAGAAAAACGGATTGCCTGCGAAGAAGAATTTTCTGACAGTGAAGACGAAGGTGACGGAAGGAGAGACATCCGATCTCACAGACCGAAGAAACGCCAGAAGGGTGATGAGGGTGACAAGGACAAACAGGGTGGAAGAAAAGACGACGAATCAAAGGGTATTTTATTCATTTTTTTTTTACATATAAGTTTTTTACTCACTGTTTTTCCGACTTTGTTTTTGTTCAGAAAAAGAAGATCGAAAGACCGACGTAACTGATAAAACTGAAAGTAAAAGGTAAGTGGAAATTTTTTTTCATTTTACTTTGCATAGCATATTATTATTTTGACTGAAAATGATCTTATATTCACTTAACATGAAACAACAATATCTATAATTTTGTGTATGTTACTGGAAGACAATATCAAATATTATACGATGATTCCAACATTGCAAAAGAGTAGCTTAAGATGCATACTTCTTTCATTGCCCTTCAGTGTTTGCTTAGAAATACTTTGTTGATTTTGTCCACAGTGGGCATTAGTGTATTTTGTATTTGGGAGAATTGATATGAATCTACATGTGCTGATGATTGTCACATATAATTCAAAAATTTTTAAAGCTATAATTGCAAATAGAAGAGTGATTAAATTACAACAGAGATGTCATATTTTGACATATGGAAAATATGATCTGGACTCCAAAGTCTAATACATGTGATAAATTGTGAGAGTATTGTAATGTTTCCTCATCCTCACTGACAAATCAGTATTCATCAATACCAAAGAGTAAAAGAATCATTTTTGCATATCATTCATTCCCTAATTAGAGTACAGATACAGAAAAATGTAGAAATGTTCAATCTGTTAATTTTTCTTTAATTGAATTGAATGAGACACGATACAGTGAATAAAGCTGCAGTTATATAAAATCTGTCAACAACATAATAGTAAAGAGAATTTTATTGTAGAAATTGCATGTTAAAACAATTTCCTTTGGAAACATGAAACATGTACCTCTATCACACCTTTCATCCCAGAAGCACTGTGAAGTTTGTTGGTACAAATGTCCCAAGATTGCAATTCTTTGATTTAGAAAAGCATCCTTTAGGATGATTTTTCAACTTGGAGAAGAGACGAGTTGCACATTTGTGAAGTTTTGTGCAAAATTTGCTTTCATATCTGTTGTAATCTGGCGGACAAACATACTTTAGCCATTTTGAGAATTCTTGGGCTGTGTCAAAGCAACTTGTAATGGGTCTTGTCTCATCCAAAATTGAACATTAGATTATCATGGGGCATTTTTGCAGCAATGCATTTTAAAAATTGGTCTCATTACTTTTATGACAGACCATACTAGAAATGTGTGATGCATCAGCGCTAATTCTAATCCAAATCAAAAGGTTATGCCAAATGTAAACTAGAAGTGGGTAGTTTTGGAACTACAAGGAATTATTTTACATTGATCACCAAGACTGCTCTAGTCAGAACTACCAATTCATTCTTCATTCTGTAGTTTTTCACAGAACAGTAAACTCTCTATTTGGATTTGAAGTTGAACTAAATGAAAATGTTTTATGAGTTTTTAGGAATATTGAATAATAAGAAAAATATCTGCTAGTTAGTTACAAAATTTATATGTCCAGCATTTCCCAAACAAACAGTAAAAAAGAAAATGTTAATACAAAGACCATATTAAAAGTTTGCTGATTTTAGCCTACTGTTATATTTATCATGTAGTATCAAGGCGATTAAATTGGGAAGAGTGGAGTGTCCAGCCTATATTTTCTTCAATTCTAAAAATTAAGAATGAAAAATTTGGTGCAAATCAACCAAGAAGCTTAGAATGTTGTATGTCTATCTGTTGTGTGTGTTTACATTTGCCATGTATAATTATGATGCATATATAAATTGAAATAATTAAAAACAATATTTTATTAGCAAACACTTGAGAGTAATATGATTCTGTTCATTTCCATTTCCATGTACAAAGGAATGATGTTCTCTATTCATTGATTTCATTTTGGTACTGCCTAGAATATCTGAACAATTCTATTAGTTCCAGTTCCAGAAGCAGAATTGAATTTCCCACCTCTAGCATAAACATCTCTGAGTATTAATGCAAAGTATGCTTTTGCTGTTATAATGATTTATTAAATAAATAACAATCAATTTATAAAAGTCATTTGATATCTTTTTTGTGCAAGCATTGAGAGGAGTAAAGCAAAAGTGCTTGCGATTCATAAGTTGATAAAAAAATCTGGAAATAATTATTAAAATACGAATTGTGATTTTAAAGAGATTTGAGTTTTTTTAAGATGAAAACATAAAAAAAAACTTCTTCAAAGTTTCCAAATAGGAGAACATGTGCATCAGTGGAGGAAAATTTATTTTTAAATCTGTCTTTCACTATCAATGCCAGAGGAAAGGATTACAATTGCCGAGAGGAACTGGCACGAGAAAACTTAACATTGTTTGCCAGCTTTTGAAGTAGCAATGTAAAATTTCTCAAAATTTGATATCTTGAGACATTATTATAATAGGCAATACATGGTATCTGTTGTCTGTCATTATCTTAAATTTGATTGCAGTTAGTATTTAAAAGAACTCTTTGTAATTTGGCATTTGGCATTTCAAGTTAATATGTCAAATTGCAAGAAGATTGTTTGATAATTCTCCATAAGATTTTATTTCTAAGGTCTTTATAGACGAAACTCTAAAACAGATTGCAAAATAAGTTTTTTTATTTGACTTAAAACTTATTGTCTTAATAGTAAAACTAGGTCTGTTGTTAGTTATATAAGGCATGTCATTCCAAAACTCATCTTATCTTCTTAACCAATGGAAAATACATTAAAACTGATAACATGATATGGAAAGTTTATAGCCATTGCAAAGATGCATAACTTTGTGTTTAAAGTCAAACGATGTTCCAGCACTTATTTTAAAGTTCAATATAAAATTTGCTTCAAAAAGGTAAACAAAAACCCCTTTTGCACCAGAAGTGACAAGAGATTTTGCTGATATCAGAAAATCGTTTTGGAGAAGGCTGGTGAACACTTTCCAAAATATTGAAGTTTATAAGATAAGACATATCTTCCCAACTCTTTGTTGAAATTATAATTCCATTGCCTAATAAATTACATCACATCCATTCTAATGTTGGTTTCTAAAAGTTTAATTTTCGTATTCAATAAAGTGGATATGATGCATTTTGGAATATGCGTCATACATTGTTTTATGGGGTCTGGCTGAATAATTTCCTGTGAAAGGTAAATGAAAAAAGGCTTTGTAGATACTATTTAAACTTTCACTCTACAATCAGAAAGAGCAACGCTTACCATTAATCGTTTTGTTTATTCAACCAAGTACTGTTTTAAAATTTATATTGTTCAAATGCCTGCTACCACATCTTACACACTTTTGAAGTTTCACATTGCTTGATTAGTCATTTTCCATAGTATTGTCATACTTGCATGACAGATGGCATCTTCAAGTATCTCCAGTACTGAGAATTTGTAATGGTCCACCTCAATACTGATATTCTGCAGCGTTTGAATAATGTAAAGTCTACTGGCGGCTTTTTAAAAACAAACTAATTCTTAACAATATGTTTTTCCTACTGAGAATCCTTTTGTTTCAATGTGATCTGAAATATACATGAAACAATCACAGCATTGCGAGTTGCCATTTTTGAAAAAAGTTTTAACAACAAATACATGATCCTTCCCATTCCACCCCAGGATGATTAAATAGATGTCTTGAAGACATAATTCTGCCTTCCACTGCAAAGTGAAATGCCATGCTGGGTCAAAGAAACAAAATGATAAAACATTGCTCTTTCTGATCATACAATGAAGGTGTGCTTAAACTATTTGTACCTCATTTAACTGACTTCCAATAATGTCTTTTTCTTGTGGATTCCAGGTTATCGCTGGCAATATAAGAACCAATATACTGGCCCTTAATATTCATTTCTAGGATCTACACCCAGCCTCAGTAGTTGGGCTTTAATTTTAAAAAATTGTAGACCTACCACTATAAAGTCCCATTGTCATCCCATCCGTTCATCTGTCCTTCCTTAATCTCAAGAATGGTGTTAAATAGATGAAAGTTGAGACCAGATATGGAAAGTTTAGGGTGCAGGAGGCCCAGATTAACTATATAAGAATACTAATGTGAGTTCTGGTGCAAACCAGGTGCCGTATTCTGGTCGCTCGTCTCTTCTTTCAATGACGAATGACATCAAAACGAGAGACGAAATTTGTCTCTCAGTATCGTGACGAGATCGCTAAAAGTGACCAGAATCTCCACTGTTTCTAATAGGTTGATTACACATGTTTGGGTTATCTGCACACATAACATGGTATAGAATTTTAACCAATGAAATTGTAAAATTTTCGAAAATGCAGAGTACATAATCATAGATCACGTGTTCAAATACATTTGTTGAAATTACATGCTTTTTGTTTTTACAGATTATAATGTCGATTTGTCTCTTAGGTTATTAAAGTTTTTATTTAAGTTAGATATTTTTCGAAATATTACCATCTAATTTCTCTTTAACTAAGTAAGATTAACATCATATTCTATAGTTCAGTAATTGATGTAGGATAATAATTTAAAAAAAAAGAATCAGTGGCGTTTCCCAGTAGGCACTGGAAAAAGCATTTTCTCGTTTGAAATATTCTTTCCCGAGATAGAGAACGTTCTCTAATATGATTGTACAGCGTGAGTAGCATCCAGTTATCCATATTGGATATAACAAAATCAAGGTGAAAGACAACTATCCACTCGTCTCTGACAAACGAGAGAATCGCGATGATCTCTCTAGACGTAAACAAATGATTAGCCAATTGGCAACCAGAATACAGCACTTGAACTCACATTATTTCAATCAGTTCAAACATTTTCTCCCAAAAGATGTTTAGATGGACAACTGGTATGACACTATTGTTAAAAGAAAAATATGATGTACAGGGACAAGCCACTACTAATTTGATGTGAAGAGAACATATTTTAAATAAATTAAAAATATGATTAAAAATTACAGCCCAGCATTGTGACAATAAATATTTGCTCGTTTCTCTAACGTCTCTAAAAAAACATATTAAAGATTAGAGTATGTCTAGTCATCCTAAGCAGTGGAGATGACTACTTTAAACCAGGAGTTAAAGACCTTTTGCCTAGTCTATCTCTGGGTAACACTGAGACTCAAAAAGAAAACGTGATTCCTATCTTTCACGTTTTCTTTTTGGTCAGTGTTGTGACTGGCTTTGGTTGCTTTCACAAACATCTGTGCTGACTGAAACCCTCTTCTTGAAGAAGAGAGTTTGCATCTCATTTGTAAATTTTTCTGTCCAATGAAGATTAATAAGTACAGATCTCTGTTTAGATAGACTTGGTCATCTAGATTCCACTTTGTTGAGTCTCCTGCTGTCATTTTTTTTAAGAGATCAGATTTCTGATATAATCTCTTGTGGGGTGCACAATGGATCTTTTAGATTAAAGTGAACTAGGACTACTGGCCTCCACTTTTAAGCGGGGGGGTTAGTAGTCTGAATGCAATACCAATAGTAGCGAGGTTGAGGCCAAAGTTTTAAATGCAAAAATGCGTATGTCGGACGTTTGGCACTGCTTTCCTGTAAGCCTAGAAGTTTGATAATGGTGGAATCATGCTCGATGTTCCAAACACTACTGTCAAACTTCTAGACTTACGGGAAAGTGGCACCGAACGTCCGACGTACATGTTTTTGCGTTTAAAACTTTGGCCTCAACCTCACTAATAGCATCTAAGATGCCTTTCAAACTCTGTTTTGAAAGCCATGTGAAAAAGTCAGACATTAATGGAGTACAAGGAAATATATAACCAAAAACTCCAATCAAAGCATTTATTAAAGTATACATCCTTTTGGTAAACAAACCTGTGTGGATGCCAGATGAATACAATTGTATTATCAGAAGATCCTCTCACATTTTTCCAGAGAACTAATTATATTTTTACATATATATTTAGCAATTTAGATAACAGAGATGAAGTTGGAGATGGCGACAAGAAAAGCATTTAACAGCCGATCATTATAGTATGTTCGTTTTACAATGCATAGGTAATTACTGCATTGCAAATCCCATATATATAGTGTAATAATTGTCATACCAAGGTAATGATTTTTATTTCCAGATTGAAAAGACACCCCAGAAATCATCACAATGAAGAACACACAGAAACAAATAAATTATTATTTTTTTCTGGGAAAAAAGACAAAGTTTATCATCATCGTCGTCATCTACATAATTTAAAAATAGTATAACATACAGAGAGCGGAGATAGAGTAAAAAGAAACTTTGCAAATTCCCTCTTTTTATATAAAACATTGTCATCCGTCTCAATGCATTTGTACGTGGCTAACCATTTTTGTTTTATGTACAGAAGTTTTAATACATAATCTACTGCTTTTGTTGGCATTTACCGGGACAGACTGTGAAAACCATCCTCCTGTTACACCTCCACTCTTGTGTAATTTATTTTTGCAAGCAAAAGGTGCAAACTTCCTTCCCGGAAATGTTTTCCAAAATATTTTTTTTTAAACAAAAACATATCATTTCAAAATGATTTGTATTTATTTTGCCAGTGTATGATTTCAACTACCTGATCCAATCTATTCACATCTCCATAATATATATATGGTGCTTTTTAAACCATGAAATTTCATGTTTTTTTTTTCTAATAGAATGTCACCAAGTTTTATTGTAATAATAAACAGCAAAAATTATTTAATAATAACTGAGAACTTGTTATTTTAAGCATTCAAAACAAAAAATCAAATTTCCAAACTTTATTTATCTGTAAAAAAGGCAACGTCCTTTCTCGTTACAATCGTTATTTACCAAAGGGCTATCGCTCGGCACTCTGTGACTTTCTTCTAGCATCTAAGAATGGTTGAGATCTTCAAAATTTATTCTTGTGACGTCTGTTCAGTATTCTAAGACTAGAATTAATGATTTGGTAATTATTTGCACAACGTGCAACAAAATATTTGGCACGAACTTCCATGTCTGCGACAAGACTTTCTTATGACCTAATACTGTTTGTCGAGCACTCGCTCGAATCCAATCAGGCAAACGTTTGACTGAGTCGGTTTATTGTCACCTCACTGGCCGAAGCCAAGGGCACGTTTCTAAGTATTTGTGAACGGAGAGGACCGGGATTTTCCACCTCCTCCGAATCATCTCCTATCTCGTCCGGAGTCATTTCATTCATGGCCTAGATATAAAAAATAAAGCATCAATGTGTGTGGAATTTTGAAGTTGATAGTTACACTAATTCAAGTTCTACTGCCTTCTGTAGCTGTAACTTCCATAAAACATCTTTTCCATTCTAAAAGTGCCAAGCAACAAGGCATGGCTAGAAAATAAAACTATTACATTGCATATTCTAATTTAGTGTTTTTCAACCTTTTTGAATATGCGAACCCTTTACAAGTTAAAAAATTCTGGCGATCCCCCTAGGGCCATATTAAAACTATATCAGTGATTTAAAAAATTATGTATTTAATTTTCTTTCTGTTGAGAGAAATTACTGTTCACTAAAATGAGAATGTAAGGAGAATCGACAATAACTTAAGACACGTATAGTATGTTACTTCCTTCTTATAATAACAATGGGTTCGGAGTGCTGTTGACCTTTGTTTTTTTAGGATGAAGGTTTTTGCATTTCAACTTTTCTACTTATTACTTCTTTTTACAAGTCAGCTCAACACTTTTTCGGCAGTCATTTTCTGGGGTGGGCTGTACCCTCCCAGGCGACACCCATCATTCGGACCTAAATGTCAATCAAAAAACCAACTGTACTGTATAATAAACAGGTACAGCCTTCTCGCTGAAATTGTAGTTTTTTTAATGTAGTGTAGGACCTACAAACACTTGTCTTTTTCTTTTACCCGCGACCCACAGGTTGAAAAACACTGTTCTAATTTATCTTAAGTGTTTGTTTTCTATCCCACATTTGATACGTACAGTATAAACCTGACATTTATAGGGGTTACATGCATGATTTTTTCCTTATTTAAAGTAATTTTGCTGCTTTTTATGACAGATTTGTTTATGTGCAACCAAATTTTCTCCCTGCAAATATACTGTTCTAATGTAAGAATAGGTTTTTTGGCATTTTACTAAAAATAGCTTACTATAAAATAAAACAATAGAAAATATCAGTGTCCTGCAAGATTTTGCAAACATATACATTCTTAATCTTGAATTCAGAGGCATTCCTCCTTCAAAATAAAGCAAGAGATTTGAAGAATAAATTAAAATTCTCCATTTCTAGGGCACCACTAGTCTTTTTGAGTGCTCAGCTGCCAATATAAACAAAAGTAAAGTATGGTATAGTGGCAGACACTTATAAACTGGAATATGACAGATGTTGACTTTTATGCTAAAATCAGTAAGAATGTTGCACACATTTGAATTGTTACATAGTGGCAGCAATTGGGGAAAATGCAAAAGTCAAATTAGAACTATTCGTTTTTAGCACAACTGGCCAGATACACACAATGCAAAGTACATAGTATCCATTTCAAATAAATTGGTGCTCAACATAAAGCACACGTCACTTTCCAATCTGTCTGATAACTGCTATCCTAGCTGTTAGTTTACTGTGGATGTAATCTTTAAAATATTCTTTTCCTTTATCCTGTATGCTTCAAGGGACGAAACTAAATATTTTGTTTAGAATGACTTAGATCTTTAGTTTGTATTAAGTGGATTGATTGTTTTTTGGGAGCAAAACTCACATATTAAAATACAGTAGAGTGTTGATTATCTGAATGCCAGTTGGACTGTGTCGTGTCGAATCGAACATTTTTGATACTAGATTAGCTTCTAAAGTATAATTTTTAACGATACAATAGCCATGATTATTCTTATAAAAATTTTCACTAGGCTTAAAATCAACAAAAATTCAACGCAAAGCGACACGCAACGGAGAAAAATTTAAACATGGTATATACTATATTAATAATGTATTTTTTTTTTTACAAAATCAGTTATCCGAACAACCCCAGTCCCCAATTGATATGGATAATCGATGCTCTACTCTACTGTAAATTTATATTGATCCTCTAGTGGTCAAAAGATATTAAAACAAAAAAGAAGAGATTAACATTTTTGAAACTGTCCAAACCTTTTACCTTCAGCTTCTGAAAACCTGGATAACTGGAAAATGTTACCATTTTTAATTTTGTGATATTTTTCAAATGTAATGCACTTTGGACTATGGGAAGTTGTTAGCGATCTTCCTCTACAGGAATATTTGGAGTTATTATTTCTAAGCAATGCTAATTCACAAAATAATCAAAACAAAAACTATGATTTTGCTTAGCGTAACGAATGGGTTGAAGAGTCGAGTCGAGTCGATCCGATCATTTTGGCTAAGTGATACAACAATTGCTTGACAGCCTATTTGTTTACATTAGGTACCAAATTATTTGAAATGGAATATAATTTTCTCTCTTATCATCCGTTTAGATCCCCAAATTATCTTGCTTGAACTTTTCCTCTGTCGACTAGAATGTGGGAGGACTCGCAGCTCGAGCAGCAAGAAAAATTTGCTTTTCACATCGAGCAAAAGAAGGAAAGACCCCAAGTGGTCGGTATACAATGCTCCTTCTTGTTTATGCTTAAAGACAAGACTTAGTCTTTCCAAAAATAAGAATGGGATCAACATTCATTAGTCTAATATACAAAGCAAAATAATTATGTGTTCTTTATAACTTTCTAATATGCGTTCTACTCTATAATGAACACAAAATTATTTTTCTTCTCATATATAGACTTGTAAACATCAACCCTGTTATTATTTTTGGAAAGATTTAATTCTTTTGAAATTACCCATTCTACCAGCCTAAGTTTTGCATATTCATTTATTTTCTCTTTGATGGACTTAAATTTGTGCCCGTACTAAAACTATGCTAGTCATTGTTATAACCTAAGCAATTTTGTTAACTAATTCTGTAAGTACTGAACCTGAGTTATGTGGCTTAAAATAGAACACCATTACTGTGTGATCTGTGCATTAACAGAGTTGACTTTTATACTTTATCATACAAACAAAAATGTCAAACTTATATAAAAGATTGTATTAAATTTTAAAATGACTTACAGTGGTAATTAAATCTGCATTATCTGCAGCAGGATCCCATTCCAGTTCTTGGGAAGATGATGGTCGTATTGACAAATCTACTTCATCTATAAAACAATAACTTTTACGTAAAATATAAATAAATGAAAGTATAATACATAATTACACAATTATCAAAAAATAAATCATGTTGTCTTTATATAATTTTACAACCTTAAAACTGGGAAAATTGAGTTCATAAATCAATCTGCATACAATGGACATATTGTCTGGTAAAGTGGTTTAAATATAGCTAGATAATCAAATCAGTAATAAATGATGGAGAAGTTTCCCAGTAAACATGCATATATTTTATATTCTGAACAAAATTGCCAATAAAGTATGTTTATCCATCAATCCATCCTTTCTCCTCTAGTGTAAGAAAGCTTGTTTCAAATGAAACTGTGATGAGTTTAAATTATCCAGCTATATTTAAGCCATTTTTCCAGGTAACACACACATGTAAAAGGGATCCAGGAATCTGTTACTAAGATTATTGAACATCACACTATAGACATTTCTTAATTTACAGAGGTCAAGTCATCTATAAGAAAACATCACACAACATAACATACCTTTTTCTTTCAACAAGGGAGAGTTTTCAGTTTCAGTTTCTTCTTGCACCCTGTTATCATTCCCCACATTCTGCTGTTGGGCATTGGCAAAAGGTTTGGAATGATTAGTCTTTGGTTTGGAGTTGGTCTCTGTGTCGGAGGCTGCCAGCGGCTGAGTGTCCGAAGAAAACTCTACGTAGCGACCAGGTGTTCCGAAATTAGTTACTGAAATAATATAGGTTTAAAAAAAAGAAAATGTCGTTACTGAAGCTAAATTTAAAAAGACTAAATAAATTATGAAGTTTTTTACTTTTACTTTGGTTCATTGTACTTCGCCTTCCTTGAAAAAACAACATTTCGGCTCTCAGCTGTCTTTTCTTGTGACGCTTTTGGATTTTCCATATGTACAATGACAGTGCAAACATCACCAGTAGAAAGAATACTCCCATTACTATTGCTGTTTCTGATCAAACATTTTCATGTTTATTTTTTATTAAAATTGCGTGCATAATTTAATTATTGTAATTTCAAACACTAATAAAGTACTGTACATACTGATACTGGACTCCATTATTTTCTGTAGCTTGTTGGCTTCTGTTTCTATGTAAATAGTTGTATACTTAATTTTCACAGGTGGTTCCGGTTTCCAAACTTGGACCCTCTGTAAAATGCAATAGTGCAGTATAACAATTTATCATACAAAAAAATATTTTTTAAATTTAATTAACTTATTTATGATGCAGAAGTTTCCCAGTAAATGTGCATATATTTTATATTTTGAACAAAATTGCCAGTAAAGTATGTTTGTTACACTAAAGGATAAAGGATGGATTGATGGGATAAGGCAACACAAAGTGATCTGCCAACAATGGATACCTCCTGAGAAAACTTATTATAGAAAATTGGCCCCTATTTAGGTGTTAAATATGTAAAGAAAACCCAGGAAAAACACTTTTTTTGTGACCATTCTCTATTGTATTGAATGCATTAAATGCTTAATATACATGTCAATCATGTAACTATTGGAGAAAATCAAAGCTTTGGAAGCTTGAAGTTTTAAAAATACCCAAGTGCTAAATTTTTTGTGTTATCCACTTACTGGCTCATCTCTCTGTTTGCTTTAATTTAATAATTATGCCCATGCTCGAGTCAGACTCGAGCGTGGGCATGAAGGGGCTCGAGTCTGACTCGAGCGTGGTCCTTAGCGTTCCAAAAAACCGGTCCTTAAGGCCATTTTTGAAAAGAAATTTGTTTTATGTTTTTTAAGTCTCCAAATTTTTTCAAAATTTTTTCCCGCGCGAAAAAATTTTATCGCGATTTTAATGATGCGTGATTAACAATTAATTGTTTTTTAATGGAAGTTTTTTATCAAATTTCATTCATGGTTCCTAAGTTGTAGTGCACGGATTTGACTTCGGTAAAGTTATTTAAAGTTAGTTTCTGATGTCAAAAACAACCTCCAAAAGTTTTTAAATTTTTTTAATTAATATATTTTATTTTATATAAATTTAATTAATTAGGGGGGGTCGGAAATCGCAATAAAATATTGAATTTTTTAAAAATATTTAAAAATTTCTGTGTCGCTTATAGTCACCCTACTTTAAACCCTTGTCCTCCCGAGACGTCTATGAGAATGTCCCGGGAAATCCGACTCCAGCTGTGTTCAAGGTCACCCAGCTGTGTAAACAGACTCATCGGTGTTAAATTTCGCAGAAAGGCGAGACAAAGGAACTTAAACTTTGCAGCTTTTTCTTCAAAATTAACGCATTTTTTTCAGTTTTAAGTATTTTTTATGCTTAATTAAAAATTCCTGAAAAAGTGGCCGGGTCAAAAGGGATTAATGTTATGTACTCAATTGTTTCACAATGACAGAACACCAAACATGTGTTGAGAAGAGTTTAACATGGAAGGAAGCATTTTCCGATTCATATTTGTACAAAGAATTTTTGGTCTTTTAATGGAAGAGAAAAGTAGTAAATTAGAGCAGTTAAGAAAACAGATACTTTAAGTGAAGTGTTTCTGACCATTGTCACTGTACATAGTGTCCTATTTAGAGCCCAATATGACAGTTATATTTTATAAGAACTATTAAATAATAGTATAAATTTTGACATAATATAATCCTAATGAGTTTGGATTCTGACTCTGATATGTTATACCTCATTTCTTTACTGCTTGACAATCTGTTTTGGACTTAGCCAATTATTAAAAAAAAGAAGACTTGTATTTAATTCTTTCTACCCTTTAATCTAAGGGTTGTCCTGAAAATAGGGTGTGTTTGTGCAGGTAAATCACTTTTATCAATTCAAAGTCAATTTTTGTTTTCTGATGTGTTAGCTTAGCATGTGTACAGTTTCAATAACAGCAGGCTTATTGTTACTGTTTTATCAATGGTTAAAATGTATACAAAAATTAAAACCCAAATGCAAAGTGTTTACACACAGCTGTATTCTGCTGCAGCCACTTAGATTGTGCTTCAGAAATATGGCTGGGACATATTTAACCACCCACTACACAGTCCTGACCTGGCCCCCAGTGACTTTAACCAAGTTGAAAGAGTTTTTGGATGGATTTGGAACGGATATTGCGGTGAAAGAAGTTGTCACTAACTGGCAGTGGAAATCTATGACAAATAATTCCAAAAACTAGTGCTTAAATCATAATGGTGACTGTGTAAAAAAATAACTGGTCTTGTACTAATAACTTAAAACTTTTTTCCTATCATTACTGTTTTTTCCTTTTTTATAACCAAATGTTCTTTATTTTCTGGATGTCCCTTGTAAATTCATCTCTTTATCTCTTATGTTATCAACTATTTTAAAACTGGTTCATAGAATTAAACATAAAAAAAAAATGTATTTTAAGTACCATATTTTCCTGCATATAACCCCATAGAAAATTACTAGAACAAAAATAAAGCCTTTACATAATCTACTCACTGTACCCTGCACTCTTTAGGCATAATTTTTAATTGTAAATTCAAAAATCAGCAGATAATATGCAAGAAAATGTGGTAAATTTTTAATTGTTGATATTCATTTGAATTACAAACATACATTAATATAATAATTCTTCAGATAAGTGCATATAATATTAATTAATTAAATATAATCAAGGAAAAATTTAATACGTCATGGGGAATTCCAGGTGTTTCGGTAGAAGACGTAACTACGTTCCCAAAGCTGGCACATTTACCCTCGGTTGGAGGTCCTTCCGTTTTTACTTTTTCCATGGCAAGTTTATTATAACCAAAGACAGTTTCCAATGGCTTCATGTGGAATCCACCCAATTCAATTATCACATCTACAAAATTGTTTAACATTTTAATTTATCATAGAGACATCACAATATTAATGAAATCAAACAACATACTTGATATGCAGCCGTGAAAATTTCCGTAATCTTCAAACCTGTGATCTCTGGTCTGGGTTCCACCAATGACTGCCTTGCTCGATGTTTCTGTAGATTTTTCTATGTTGTCCGCAGTCTGTTGAATAGTCGGAATGTGTTCTTCTCCGTCTACCTGTAACGAGTGGTAGAATAATGGCATGACGAGAATATAATTTATAGATTTGTGTAAAAATATATTTATACGGCTTACTATGAGTTTAATTTGATTCCCGTCGCGAGTGTAATAAATCCAGTGTCTGTGATTGTCGGCAAAACTACCTCCACTCTTTTTAATTACTTTTCTTACAACTTGAAAGTAAATAAAGAATTTATATATATAGATAGAATAGTTAATTTATTTATTTACAAAATTTTCTAAAAATTCAGAGAAATATTCATTTTTGCATTGCAAAACTTCAAAAAGACCCACTGGTGATCAATGCTGGTAATGAGACACACAAAATTCCTTATGTACTTTTCCAGCAAATTACTCTTTAATCAAACTAACAGTTTTGCTTTATTAATAAGCCTTCATCAGGATTTTAGAATAATATAACATTTTCTTTAAAAAATATAAATGGTGTTTTTGATTAAGTTAGAAATAAAATAATATACTAAAAAATGTACAGTTAAGTAAATCAAAATCATTTGAAGTGTGATGATGACGTCATGTTTTGTGCTGGGTTACAATTTTTGCCACACTTTGTTTCTAAGGGGATTATCAAATAGCAATTTACAGTCTCTACTCTTAATATACATTTAAATATTTCCAATATTTCCGCTATTCATTGTATACTTGTTTTATAAGTTGGACCCTGCTGAAATCTGCTGACACCCCGGGTTTGGCTGTGTACTGAGCAAGAGAGGTTTTTAAATTAATTTTGTTGATATCGTATTTATGCTCATTGATTCTGCATGTTAATGACCTATTAGTCAAGCCGATATATTTTAGATGTCTATCAAATCTAACATTGTATATAGGGATGGAGTACATCCCGGAGGCTTTATTTGGGTCAACATAATCCTTGCTGTTACTTAGTACAGTAGAATCCCTCTAGTCCGTCATTCCGGTTAATCCGACCGTGGTCGGACTTGAGAAACTTGTCCCGACTTGTTAGTGACTCACCGTCCATTGCATTCTTCTGTGTTCGTTACAGTATATGTTTTACATTGTGTGTACATGTACAGTTTTGTGTGTGTTTTCAACATGTTAGGAGTAAAACGTAAACACATTACTCTTTCATTAAATGAAAAATTAGCAGTGCTACAAAGACTGGACAAAGGGAAGATTGTTTACAGTCGATCCCCCTATAACACTATTGGTTATTCCGTTTTATATGAATTCCATGTTGTACGAGTCACTTCGATTTTACAAATACGTGTTCCAGGCTGTGAACAGCTCACGTATTTGTAAAATCGAAGTGACTCGTACAACATGGAATTCATATAAAACGGAATAATCAATAGTGTTATAGGGGAGTCGACTGTATTTTACTTTTTTCTGATAATCCGACCTTTTTTGCATTCCGACCATACCCCCAGTTCCAAAGGTGACAGATTAGAGGGGTTCTACTGTAATCTGTTCCCCCTGTTTGTATGCTATACAAGCTCCTGTATATTTAGCATTTAATGTAATATGGGTTTTAGCCTATTATTGTTATCTAATACTATGCATTTACTTGCCTGTATTTGTGGTTGTGTCCTTAAGTTTTTGTCCAGATTGCATGCTATGTTACTGTCTAGTTCCAGCTTATGCCAATATCGATCAAATGCCGGTAGTTGATAATGGGTTGGTATGAGTTTTTTTACATGCCTAACACCTAAATACAGCCATTTTCCCATAGAAAGTCTCCCAGAGATGGTTTAAGGCAATGTGCCATGTGGGGCACCCACGTGGCACATTGCCTTAAACCATCAACCTAACCTAATCCAATCCAAAATGTAAACAGATCCCCGATTATTCACAATAAAAGGTCATAGATTGACACAATTTGTTAAAGTCCTATTTAATTGGACATAGCCTGGTTTTTTTAAGGCGATTGTATGCAAAACAGAATTCAAGCTAAAATAATGGGACTTGTTAGTAGCATTTCATATGTAGAGACTGACTTACATAGACCATTTTTTGAGGAATGACAAGGAAGAGTTCTTTGCAGAATTCCTAATCACTTGCTCTGGCATAAATTTTGCAACTCCCATTGTATAAAAACAATGGTGTTTGGGAAGGAATGCAAAAAATGAATTCATGGGATAAATAATTGATTGTTAATGCTGTGGATTTTGTGGCTTTGTTGGGGTAGCCAGATTACACGACTATACTGATTGTATCCAATTTAAGCTAGATTTATAATTTGTACAAATTACTAGGTAAGAATGAAAGAAATACTAATCAAATCAGAATGTTCACATTTTAGTACATGAGATAAACTAAATTAGCACTTGATTGGTTGAATGAACTGTGGTTCATCAAAAGTTGAGATATTTTCAAGTTCTAATGAACTGGTTGAACACTTGTTGAAAGGGAACAAACTGGCAGTTTGTATCTACTTTGTAGTGGTTCATATGCCAATGGAAATCTAGCTTAAATAATTGATGAAAATTTTCAAAGATCAACCCAGATCCTCAGAATGACAACAGCTAATGTTTCAGTTATCAAACCTTCATATTTTTATTTTAATAAATTTAATTAGTCAACTGTATAGTAACAGTGAGAGTTTTCATTAAGTAATTTCAAGATAATCAAAGAATCTTATATATTCCACACAATCAAAATTATAAATACAAAAAATAATGTTTCTCTGCTTAAAAAATTATGTTAAATTATATCCTATATAATTTTTAAACACAAGTTATTCTTTCAAAGGTGATACTTAACTCAACTACAGATAATTATTTAACAACAAAAAAAAATTTAAAAATACTACTTACTTCCATCAGATTCTCTATCTTCTTCTATCAAAAGAGATCCTTCTGGAGTTAATGATNGGTAGCCAACTACAGCTTTCCGCACTCAATATTGGTCATACAAATACATGACAATATGTGACGTCACCATTTGAAAACATCAAAAATTAGGCATCTTCCCCCGCTTACCATCTTACCCCGAGTCACTCTATGCGTTGCAGTCAAACCAGTTTTTAGTTAGGATGCGTTTTGACTAGTTAAAACTAGTTTATACTGGATGTGTTTGTTAAAACCCATTTTGTCTAGTTAAAACTAGAATTTACTGCTAGTAAAAAATGAATTTGAGTTAAAACTAGTTTTAACTAGATATTCAGTTTTAACAAAGATATTCAAGGGTTTTAACAAAGATATTCAGTATAAACTAGTTTCAACTAGTTAAAACGCGTTCTAACTAAAAATGGGTTTTGACTGTAACATCTGGATTCAAATATTACAGAGCATGCTGGAGACAGCTGTAAGATTTGAATTAAGAATGATGATACTTTGTAGAGTTCTAACAAAAATGGCTGCAAACTAAATTCTGCCTTATGTATTGCCTACAAAGCCAGTTGACAGCTTTTTGATGGGCATGACTTGTTGCAAGAGTTGTTTGGCCACAAGACAATCATATTTTTTTTATTAATTTTCTGCACTGATGATATTTGATATATCAATTTTGGATCCAGAACTTTCTCCATTGTGATTTATTAAATGATGACTTTATGTTACATTTAACTACAATGTTTCTCAACCTTAGGCTTTGGATACTGACAGTGCTTCTCGATTAAAAGTTGCACCAACCATAAAATATTTTTGTCATCTAGAAAAAACTATTTCTTACACACAGTAATTATCTAAATACGTACAAAAGACTTATAGCACTTAATTATTTTCTAATTTGAAAGTTAAGATTATTCAGAGCTTTTCTCTGTTAAAGTTTCATTGTCCTACTAGGTCCTAAATCCTCCACTTCTAAATCCAGATTAATTTCTTAAAAACGTACCTTTTTGGCATGCATCTCCTGTGTAAGATGTTAAAGTACAATCACAATTAGTATAATTATTTTTCCAATCTTCAATGCATATACCACCATTATGACAAGGCATTTCATCACACAACATTTTACAACCCGGCCTCAATTGTCCTAAATCAAAAAATAATTACATTATTTTTACTAAAATTAATCAAATTTCACACAATAAGATATAGTTATTGAAAAATAATAATTTTAACCTGAAAAATCAGATTTTTGCAAAGCAGCTTTCTCGAGATCAAAAATAGAATTTCCTATTTTCAGTCCCTGCATGCAACCAACAAACCCGGGAAGATACGACACGGTTCCTCTCCCGACATTTCCAAGAAACATTTCAGCATGCGGTATTGTTGGATAATTGCCTCTTGGTGGTTTAATTAATTCTGTTTTAAAGATTCAAATGAAAACTTAAATTTTTTATATTGTAAAAAAAAAGTAAAAGGATTATTGAGTGTTTGGTTTGATTGCCAACCTGGCTTGCACTCATATATAAAATACATTTTATAATTTATATATGTCTTAAAATAAGGCTTTTTATACCTAAATCTTGTCCTTCCACCCATGGTTCCTGGCGATATTTTTCTACAAATTTGATAGGTTTGTTAATTACAAGTTTCTTGTTATTCACCTGCAGAATTGTCTTGTCTTTATGTCTCGACAATTTGATTTGTACAGGAAGCCCCTTTGAAATTCCTAAATAATTTAAAATATATTAACATTAGTTAATCACTATCATGATTTAAACTTCCACAAATTTATAATGAAAGACAGATCTTTATATCACTTGTTGAACAGTGCTGGATTAACCCTTAACAGACTCTTAGCTTCTCCTTAGAGTGTATGAGTTTACAAAAAATGAAAACAAAAGATCAAGAATGGTAAAAGTAGAATTGAAATTTTATGGTTCTAGTCTCTTGTGTCAATATATGTTCTGGTTGGAAATGTGTGGGGTGATGGTTTGATATTTATATTTATCTCAATTCCAGCTTTGTTCATCTAATTCAGATAAGTACAGCTCATTTCATGAATCTTAGCCAGACTATAAAAAATGCACAGTAGCATAGTGAATGGAATGAATTGTTTGACAAGATCACTGTGCATTTCAAAAAAGGGCTCTTGAACTTTTTAAACTTCCAGAGATACAACTGAGTACTATGTATCGTGAACCAAGATAACTTATATCAAATGATCTTCACATTCTTCAGAGAACTATGTTTGTATTCATAAGTTTATTTATACACCTTGATGTAACATACATCTACCTTTACACTATTAATTTATCATTTCTATTTTTCTCTAACTTTATCCATTTTACATTAAGATAAATGGTAAAATAAAGAAACACAAATGTTTGTGTGGTCAGTAGTGTTCATTGCACCAATAATAATCTGTAGAAATGCTAATACTTTAACTAAATGGTTTTAAAAAGAATTTATAAGTTCACTTGTTAATATTTTGCAAATAAAATTTCAATTATTATTTTAAAATCTGCATTTCTTCTAGTGGAATGTGCATTTACAGTATAACAATTACCCTCATATTTAAGGATGTTAACTTTAAGTGATTTTTAAATCACTTAAAGGACATTAGGAAATGTGAGTAAAATTTAAGGATGTGAGAGGTCGGACTTGGAAAAAAACCCCACAATTTTATTCAAAAATTTTTCGAAAAAATTCATTTTTTGTTTTGAAAAGAAAACTTATTTAAATCTCAGAAAAGAAAAACTTTTTCTATTTTATTACTGGAGGATGAGTGCATTTCTCTTCTCGGAGTTGTTTCCTTTCCCAGGGAACTCAGAATGTGTCACTGGAAACTACAACTAAAAATTCACTATTGGTGGAAAACAACAACGTGACTGGGAAATAAAGAGGAGAACTCAAGGAACAGTGAGGGGTCGAGAGTCCGTGAGAGTATTCCCTGTGTGCCAGCCAAAAGGATTAATCATCATCACTCGTCACCGCGCGCTCCTCCCAAATATCCTGTGTTTCTCCGGAAACACCTACAAAGAACCAACGGATCAAAACTTCCGATAGACTTTAACAGCCATCCAAGGCAACAGAGACATTCCCAAGACTCCCCAACGACTCCACAGCCATCTGGAAATCCGTACACAGTGCTTCGGGTATTTATAACAACCTGCGATGTTATGTAAGCTCGCTCTCTCCAACTCGGTTCTCGCGAAGAAGCTTTAGGGTAAATACCCTTTTGTAGAACTAGTTTAATAAACAAATTTTGTTATTGTTAGAATTGTGTTGGGTGCACTTCCTCAAGTGGACTCCATTCCGAATCCAACTGCCCACAGACACAACTGCTCGCGCATAAAGGCGAACGTAACGGTCTCTGTGTCTACCAGAAGACACAGGGGTGTCAGTCCTGACAAATTAGTCATTGCAGTCTTTGCTGACGCAATGTCGATCCTTTGGTCCTGTGGTGCCAATGCATAGGGGGCGCTTCGGTATTGTCACAAGAATGTTAAAATAATAATTCTTAAATTTTGGAATTATAGTTAAATTAATTAATTTGCACAAGAAGTTTTGTTTATAAGAACAACATCCCTATTAAATCTTTATTATTTATTACTTAGCTAAATTTAATTTAAATATTTAGAAAAAAAAAACTCTTATTGGAGTGAAGCATGGAAGATATACTAGATTATATAAAAATAACTTAACAAAAATAAAATTAAGTTTTTGCTTCATTTAAAGTGTTACTTTTTGACTTAGCTCAGAAATTTAAAAATTTACAAACCTGATGTTTCGACAACTCCTTGGACTACAGAACGATAAGAATTAAATGTAAAATAGACATATTTTCCTTCGTCAAAATGAAGTTGAACAAAATTATTTAGGTGGTCATTGGCATAAAGAAGTAGGGCTTTTTCTTCATAAGTTCGAAAATTAAGTAGAATATCCTGATCCATAACCGGACTCATTACATAGGTTTCATTTTCATTTGTTTTGTTATGAAAAAAGGAATTTGAAGTGAGGAATGTTATTCCATTAACATTAATATCTGCAATTTTAAAATAGATATTAAAAAATAATTATTATACAATTATAAATGAATAATTTTTAAAAATTAATTTACTCTCTTCACAGTTTTTTCCAGAATGAGCAATTGGATTATGGCATTCACATGCATAAGATCCCCAATATTCTATACAACTACCACCATTTTTGCAAGGATTTGGAGAACACGATGGCTGGCAGTTAACAACAATGTCTGGTGAACTTGAAAAAATTGAATAAAAGTTTTATTTTAAAAAAAAGTTAATAATGTTTAAGAAAAATTATAAAGCTGATCCTTTTCTCAAATACATTTAACAATTCTCTATTACCATAATTTCACATGGCTACAATGGCATATACCCTGCAAAAATATCAATAGAATGGAAATAAAACCATCACTTCCATTAGCAACTCATTGTAAATATAGTAAGACCCTGCTTAACACTGATTTGATATAACGTGGTCTGCTCAAAGCCTAAAAAAAAGCTCAAAATTTACGCAGATTCAAATTATTGTGACATTTCATTGATTCGTACATAATACTATCATTTACAAACACGAACCAATCAGGGAAAGGTGGCAATTTGTCATAGCACTATACTTTCCCTAAATCTATGTTTGTTTGGTGCAATTTTGGAAAAAATATAACATCACGGATGCCATAGGAAATATCGACTTTGCCTGGCAAGAATTAACTGATAAATGCATGAATGGAGTGTGGAAGAAGTTATGGCCAAAGGTATCCAAGAATTCTCAACTAGAAGATCCTATCTTTGTATCTTTAGGTTGACCAAATTGTCAACCTAATCGATACTACAGGACTAGATGTAGACGGGTAGGATATTGAGGAGTTACTGCAAGTTTCTGATAAGAGCCTTACCAACGACAAACTTCAAGAACTGACAGAACAAGGAATTCACGTAGAACTGAAAAATACTGATTCTGAAAATGAAGAACCCAAAGAATTTCTCTATAGATTTCCTTAGTAAAAGTTGGATAACAATAACCGAAATTGTTGATCAAACTGTAGCAAATGATCCAGATTTTGAAAGGAGTGAAAAAGCAAAATGAGGCATTTTGGATGCAATCTTCTGCTACCGACATTTGCTTAAGGAAAGAAAAAAAGCGACAAATGAAACTACACAACTTTATTGCAAAAAACAAGAATTTCAGAAAAGCCAGGACCTTCATCACAAAAAATGAACTTTAGATTTCTCTGTGCATATGTTTAGTTGTTATTTAACATACACATGGGGAAACAAAAAAAACCGGATTTTTTGTATAAAAACTTTATTGACTTTTTTACAAAATTCCTTCAGTCACCTTCAAAGTACTCTCCATTAGATACGATGCACTTGTCAAGTCTTTTTCCCCACTGTTTGAAGCATCTCTGGAACTCTTCAACCTTGATATTGTCCAGTGCCCTTAGCAAAGCTGTTTTTACCACCTCCACATCATCAAAACACTTTCCTTTTAGATTTTTCTTCATTCTTAGAAACAGAAAAAAGTCACATGGGCTAGGTCTGGTGAATACAGAGGGTGGGGAACGAGAGACCAAATAGTGGGTCACTCGTAAGGCTGTGTATGTGGGAGCATTGTCGTGATGAAGGAACCAGTCACCTGATTGCCAAAGTTCTGGGCGTTTCCTTCGCACATCCTCTCGCAGACATCTTAACACTTTTTTCGCAGTTTTTTTCAACATTTTCATCATTTCGAGATGTTGAAGGATGCCCAGAACTTCACAGGTGGAACAAAATAACAGTAAGAGAAACACAACACTTAGAGGATTTGATCCCGGGATCTCGAAAATCGGGATCCCGACTACTTTTCAGTCCCGAAATTTTCGGGATTAAGTTTTCCTAATCCCGAGATTTTCGGGATTCACATCATTTTAAAAAAGTTGCAAAATAGACTGCATGAAGCGAAACGTTCAGTGCCAGTGCTTTTACAGAATTGCTTGCCTATCATTTTAATATAAAATATGAGAAATTTTATTCCAAGCAAGCAGCAGAAATTAACCTAGCGGGCTTGCGATGCTTGCTTGGAATAAAACTTCTTGTATTTTCAACTAAAATGATAGGCAAGCAGTTCTCACTGGGTTACTTGGTAATATACTTCATTTTTGTATTTTTGAATTTTCGCGGGCGCCAATCGATTTTCTGGCGCAGTCGAGAGCACTACTCAGTGCGTTTTACCTGTCAATGTGTCAGCCATCTTGTTTTGCCAGTGTGGTTAATATAGACCCGACGCCTCTCGCTTAGGGGGGTCGACCTTAGGTGAAAAGGTTACGACCCCCGCCTTGCCCGTGATCTGTCAGGATGATGCGAGAAAGTCTTTTTACGTTTGGGAGTAGTGGTTTGCTGGATGCTGAGAGACTCACACAGAGACCGAATTTACAAAATTAACGTGTTTATTTTTAGAAAGGCATGCTTACAATGATCGAAACAATCGGGATTGTAGCCTTTACTCCTACAATCCCGATCTGTGTCGACCGGACTGTTTTCTTCCAACCTCCCCGTGTCCTCGAAGCTATAACTAGAACGGGCTTATAAGTATTTACTAACGATTCCTCCAACTTCCATCAAACCTAAACGCGTTTTCTCAGCAGCTGCATATATGTGCAACAAATTGAGAAGCAGACTTGGTGATGAGACACAGGATGCGTTGTTATTTCTCAGATCATATTTTCGCAATTCAAATTAGAATGTTCCTATTAGATTAGTTTTCTTTATATTTAAGAAAAATGTGACTAATTAATATTATTTTTAAATACTTTTTGCTAAGAAACTTATCTTACTACCTACTTACTAGGTTGCTATATGAAAGTAGTCTATTTAGTCGATGTTAAGATAAACGTTGAAAATTAACGAAAATCTATTTGCATAGTTTGTTACATAAAGGTTTTTTCAATTTATGTGAGTTTAAAGAGATCTCAGTGATGCTTAAAAAAGAATAAATTTAACATGAAGACTGAGTGATTTGAAGTCTGGTTAGTCTGACTCTGAGTCTGATTAGTTAAGAGTGATTAAATTAGCTAGGTGTATACTGTAAAATATGTTGATTTTTGTCTAAATTTTGATTTGTTGATTTCTGTAAGATTTTCTTATTTTTTATTAACCCTCAATACTGAAATAATCCCGGGATCGACTAAGTATAATCCCAAAATCCCGGGATTAGAAATAAGGACCGGGATTGAATTCCCTAACAACACTACACCCAAACGTAAATGTGAGATCCGAAATTTTATTAACTAAAATTGTAATTAATTCACTTTTGTTTATATAACAAATTAAAAGAAAAAAGCCGATCTTAGCTGGGAATGTGTAAACCTTCCTGTCATAACTATCAATATCCATTGTTCTCGCATAACTTGCATCTCGTCTTGCACAAAAGTTTACAGTTAGCATCCAAATTTTGTTACTTGTTTTAGGTCCCTGGAACACCTATAACCTTTAGCTCATGAACATCCGATCACGTGGTGGGAATTCCCCACAAAAAGCTATAAAAGACAGTTCTTACCCCCTCTCGGGGGAGTCTCTTAACGAAAGCCGGAACAACAACATCGAGTCAAATCTCCGAACCCGCTGAAATTCCAATCTACAAACATCGACATCCGATCATTGCCAGAGTCGCAAAAATTTTATATTTGTGCTCATTTGGATTAAACCACCTTTCCTTCGACATTTATGTGCCTACATGGACTTACTCGTCTAGAAACCATACAAAGAGGTATGAAAACCCCGTGTAAACCCTCTCTCTCGAGCTGTTAGTCAGTTTAGTAACGAGATCAGTGCAGTCGTTTTGTCAAATTTTGTTCATTTTAATAAATTCTTATTTTTACTTGTTAAATGGTAGACTCTTTTACTCGTTTACGGCCTTCACCTTATCGTCGACCCCAAATACTCTCCCTCCACTCGACCGACATTTGAGAGTCCCAACCCTAGGGACTGTTATCATAAAACAAGCTATCCTGACAGTGAGCAGGTTTAACGATCTGTTGTCTGTACAGGGAGGTGCGACTGACTACGACCTCCCCTGCGGTTTACATAAACCTACAAACTGATGCCGTTTGCACAACTGTTTCATAAAGGTCTCTACTAACCCCATGTAATGGGAGAACTCTTTACTACGTCTACAAATGGGAGCACACTCTCAGTTCGGGTTTTTTGGGATCCCCCTCGTATTATTATACAAAGTAATATAAAAATAACTTAAAGTAAAAGTTGTTGATTTTTGGTCACATGTTCCCTTTTCCCTATTTACTCTTATGTTAAAATGACCTCGTTTAACGCTGTTTCGCTTAGCGCTTTGTCATCTAGGAACGCATCCCCTGCGTTAAGCAGAATCTTACTGTACATATAAACAACCAATATTGAATATTCTATAATAATCAAATCATTAGATGCCCGATTACTCAGACTATATTTTGGCTAACTATTAACAATTAATATAAAATACTTTCTTGTAAAGGTATATTAAGTGGTTAGACTGTTATCTTGTATTAATATTAATAATTACAATAAGTTTTGAATTGAGTTCAATTAGGAGGTTCAGAGGTTCTCTCTTAGTAATTCATTTGTTTGCTTCCATTATTTCATCTACAATGAAGTTAAATAGAAAAACAATGTTCAGTATAATTAAAAAATTTTTAAATTATACTGAACCACCAACTCCATTGAAAAAACTTTTATTAATGTTTTAATATTTGACATGGAATTCTAAACTGCATACTAGTAAAAGTCATGTTTTTGACTTGGGGTATGGCTTTCTTTATAAATTTTAGCTGCTGGCCAAAATTCATAAAGCACAGAACGTAAAATATGCAATGGCAGGAACTAGTCTATTTTCTTATTGAAAGAAATGGGTTATTTGACAAATCTTTGACAAGGCTGCTATGTGTTACTACTATTGCTATTGAGCTTTTTAAAACTTTCAGAACTTCAATTGAATACAGTACATCACCTGGCTATATCAAATAATTTATATAGTGAGGTTGGTTATGCAAAGGTTCCATTTCCATTTTACCAATTTTCTGAGAGGTCATGGATTACCTGCACAAAATTACATTAATATTACTGTATATGCTAAACATATTTGTTGAATTTATATTTTTCTGTAAATTCATACTGTAGAATATAGAGCAATGAAAGCTGAATTATAATACTAAATATTGCTAATTTTTAGACAATTTTTAGCATAAATATAGCCTGAAAAATCTAATATTTGTGAGGTTTGTCGACCTGGAAAGGAAGAGCTTCAGGCTGTATGAGGGGTTTTGAATTGTATGTGGGTAGTGGTGGACACACACTGACTCAGGTACCTTTACAATTTTTTTTCAATTCAATAATCTTTATTAGGATTAAAATATAGTACTAACTGGCATCACATAGGCACAGCTGGGTGGTTATACAGAAAATATGTTTACAAAGTACAGTGGGATACAAATAAAAGGAAACATTGAACAATTATAAATAATAGAAATGGTAAATAAAATAAAGTATAATAAAATACAATACATAAAAGTAAAAGAGTGACTGTACATTAGGCTGTTGTTGAGATTTTATGTTCTGTGCTTTATGAATTTTGGCCAGTGATAGAGACAGACATGAAGAAGACTATGTACATCATTACATAAGTTGAATTATACAATAAAAGTGAATAGGAATACGAGTCTTAATTACAAAATATTTACAGTAGGTATGTACAAGCAGAGACTGAAGATGGTGGGTTAACTTGTAAAACAAAACCCTAGTTAATTGGAGTTCGCTGGTACCTTTACAAATGAAATCTGTTTATTTTATATAAGAGCTTACAAGTTGTTTTGGGAGATGCTCTCTCTCTCTCTCTGATGAAGATCAATAGAGACTCTGCGGATGCTAATTTGTAGCTGTTGGAATCTTGTTGAGTTGGAGTCCCAGGGCAGTGTTGTGGATAGTCCAGCAAACGGAAGATAATGGCAAAGCACAGGTGGGAACGGCGGAACTTTGTTAGGCACAATGGCACAAAAAGACGAGGAGTGCACGGATCATTTTGGATGGTATAGAAATTTACCCTTTGTCCTTGAAATCTGGGGTATTTAAGGGATTTCATCCCCAAATTTCCTTCTCCGATTGGTTCCGATTCCGTCTTGTCATTTCCCAATTGGTCTCCTCCCTTGTTTCCAGGTGGAAATAAGATTGGATTCGGCCATGAGAAAGGCTGATCTTAGGTGTTCAACCCGACACCATCCCTCAACTCTGACCAAGAAATGTTGATGGAACTTCGAAACCTGCACTCTTATGTTTGATCATTATGTTCTCTATTCTGATATTTTGGAATGTTAACTATCAAATGCGACATTTTCCTTTCATCAAGCCACCTCACTGTTTTCCAACTCAGTTTAATTTTGATCATTTGTAAACGAGCATCAGAGCGAAAGTTTGAACTTTCCAGCCTGACACTGATTTATTGCTTAACATGTGTCTGAGTTGCACTTGGGACTCACATTGTTTACTTTCATGTCACATTAATTTATTATAATTTCTTTTCTTCTATTTTAAAATATTTTTAGAGTGATTAATAATGGGTTCAGATTCAGTTTGGCACCTCACATATTTGTCTTATGAATTGTATTATAATTATATGAGAAAAAAATAATATAATAATTATTACTATTTAAAAATGAAATTTTCAATGTATATTAATGTAAAGATTGAATATTTCACAAAGTTATATTTACCTTTTTATTAAATGCTCATGAAGATTTACGACAGAATCACCAATTACTAAACCTCTAAAACAACCAATAAATCCTTCTTTTATTGTAGAGTTACCTGCGTGATGCCTTAAATAAATGAGAGAAAATTTGTTGATAAATTTTGCATTTTTAAAAAGTTTATTGTTATATATATATGTTAAATAATCTTGCTTTATATTTAACAAATTACAGTGGAACCTCGGTATACGACCTTAATCCGTTCCTGGTGTTTGGACTTATACCGAATAGGACGTATACCAAACCAACCTTTTCCATAAAAAGTAATGTAAAAATGATTAATCCGTTCTCATGTAAAAAAAATGGCTGGCTTTAAACACCTGGCTTTCCTCGCTGTTTCTGCTTGATTTTTCATGAGATCAGCATGTATCCTTTTAACTTTCTCGCAAATAATTTCTTCTGATACGCTGTCACCGGCACACTGTTTTTCAGTTATCCAAAGCAAAAGCAATTTCTCAACATGATCTAATGTCTTCGATCTCTGTTTAGAAATTGATTTAACCCCTTTCGTAATGTTAGCAAATTTAATAATGTCTTTATTTTTTACGATTGTCGATATTGTCGTTCTCGGAATACGGAATGCAACAGTTATATCTCATTAAATCTCGAACACGCATGCCACCTTCATATTTCTCAACAATCTCTTTTTTCAGTTCCGTTGTGATTCTAGTCATTTTTTTATTTTTCTGTTGCCCTTTTGCAATTCATGATTAATAAAAATAATAAAATGTTACTTACAAATTAAAATCAGAAGAAATTTGACAAAGTTATAAACCGTAGCACCGCGAACGTCTAGTCTAGTGTAGTACACCGATAGTGCTACTTGTTCATAGATGGCGCATATAATTGAATTAAGTCATATACCGAACAAAAGTCGTATACCGAGCAAAATTTGTTTCGTCCAAACAGGACGTATTCCGAATTGGACGTATTCTAAAGCAGACGTATACCGAGGTTCCACTGTATATGATTGTCTTTAAAAGACTTAAAGTATATTATCTTTAAATGATTGAATTTTTGACAATTATTCTTCACGACCTAAAAATGAATGCATCAAACCATCTGAGCAAATAATCATTTTCATTCAAGAACCATTCATCATTTCCAAGAACCATAAAAACGATCTTGTATCTTCTAATTGGATTATTCATAAATATATAGGAAGTTTTCTTGCACATAGATATACAGTACATACATACAACTAAATTAAACACCAGAATACATGCCGAGCTTACTGAAATTTAATATTCAAATGCTTTCAGCCTATTCTTATAGCCCATCCTTAGGAAATTATCGTTCCACAAACGAACATAAACCTTTCGAATACTCGTGAGATTTAAAGTTTTTGAAAATTTTAAAAAATTATTACATTAAACAGTTAAATATTAAATAAACAACAAATTACTAATACATTATATAGCCAAACAAAATAAAATACTATATCGAAAATACATTAAACTAGTTAAAGCATCACTGCCATATCCTTTTACAGGTTTTTAACTCCCATTTCTTTTTCTATTACGTATTTCCAGGCCGTTGGGAGAGCATTTGCATCTTTTGCATTTAAGCAATTATCGTTCACTTTACCCTTATATATTTCTATCTTCTCCATACCTAATGCAATCGTCGAAGAATGGACTGTCTTAACTATTCTCGCTTCATCCCATTTCACGTTTGCTCCTTCTGTTTGTGCCACGACTGCCAAAACTGTATTATTATGCCCGTTATCACGTCATATTTGTGCTCTCTTAAATGTATTGCCAAGTTTCTTCTAGTGACCCCAATATAATCTTTTGTCACTCCCAACTGCTGATTCTCAAAAGGAATTTTATAGACCCTGGCTTTATCCTGCATTCTTACTTCATCTTTATCATTCCTTAGCAGTTTGTATTTGGTGCTCTTTTATAAACCATTTTCATGTTTTTATATCTACATAATTCTTTCATCACTCCCTCCATACTCCTATAGTATGTGAACTTAATAGGGGAGATAGGATCATCTTATCTGCTTCCATGTTGTCTGTAACTCTTGATCAATCCTTCGATTGTGGTTGTTCTGAATCCTAAACCTTTTGCCACTTTCTTAATTCTACTTATCTCCCTCAGTCGATCTTGTACGTTAGTGCAATACAAGAATGCTCTTTTAATAAGTGCCTTGAACGCTGATATCTTATACTTAAACAGATCATTTGTCCATGCTGGTATATACAGTGGTGCAAGCATGGGTTTTAAGTACACGGCCATTTGTATACTGCCCATTTTAAACCTTATACTAATGTCCAGAAAATGTAGATGCGTATGCTTTTTTGTTCCAGCTTTATCCTTAACCTGTAATGACTGTCATTTATTGCAATTAAAAATCCTTCAATCCTTCGTTTGTCCTTCCAAACTATTAACACGTCATCCAAATATCTCTTGTAGGATATAATGTCTTCTTCGAATGTTCCTAGGACATCCTTTTTCAGTTGATGCACTACCATCTCACATAAGAGTCCTGAAAATTTAAATTTCATGAGTATTTGAAAGCTTTATGTGTGTTTGTGGAATGATAATTTCCTGAGGATGGCCTATAAGAATAGGCTGAAAGCATTTGAATATTAAATTGCAGTACGCTCAGCATGTGTTCTGGTGTTTAATTTAGTTGTAAGTAAACTGCTGAGGAAGTGGGATAATTTTATTTTGAAAAAAGCAATCATGCAAAATTACTTGCAAAATGTGAGGCCTCACAAGTCTAGACTCTCACCTTACATCTCTTCCCTAATAATTTTATAGAAAAATGTATATATTATTGAATTTGACACATCTTGTTATGATAACAGAAACATTGTTTGTTTGTTCTTGTTGGACCAACATTCCTGGTCCGAATTTACAAATAATATTTGAACTTAATATCAGTAATCTAATGAGAACTACATACATCATCTAACTTAAAAGAATGAGGATCCTATTATCAGTAAAAATTTCCAATTAAAATTGAATTCTTAGTACTGAATTAATGTCTAAGTTGAACTTTCCTACAGTCTCTAATTTCACTATGAAACAGATGAGGTCAAGTCCTAAAATCAAAGGAGCTTAACATAGAATAATGCATTGAAAAAAAAATCAATGTGCATATTTTGCAGAACAAATAATGTGGAACATGAACTTAACAACAAACTATTACATGAAGACACTTAAGAAGCTGACTATCTCAAACTGATAGGAAAATACTAAAAAAACAAAGTATTGTGTCAATTATTTTTACTTCTATGTCCTTACTGTTTTACATTTCTGTGTATATATTGTCTACTTGGACCTTGCTTATTATAGAATGTAAACCCGCTGAAGAAGGGCCTTCAGGTTTGAAAAACAAAAAAGTGTACAGGTGAAAATAAAGATATTTTGCTCTCTGCTCATGTAATTTCCTCAGCCTTTCCTCCAAATCCATTCTTCTTAAAAATGAATATATTCAAAATAATTATTTAAAACAATGGAGTCAGATTATTTATCCAATTTCTTACTTAATTGTATTGTAGAAAAATACACAAAAAACGGAGTTTGAACTTTATGTTAAAAACCCTACTGAGGAGACCTAAAAATTTTGGCGAAATGCATTTAGGGAATCTGAAAGTGTAATAGTGTTTCTCTGCAATTGGGTTTGCTTTTACCTTTTTTAAACTTTAATTTTTATTTAATTATTAATATGATTTAAAAATTTGGCGTTACCTACCCTCTGTAAGTCAGAACAGTAAGAAAAATTGATTTTTCATGTATTTTTCTACAATGCAATTAAGTAAGAATTGGATAAATAATCTGACTCCATTGTTTTAAATAATTATTTTAAAGATATTTTGTTTTGACTTTTGACTAAGATCTCCTCTCTTTGCTAATCAGAAACTTCATCAATATAATAAGTCCTATTAATAAACAAGGTTCAATTAGGAAATATATATACAGAAAAGTATTGTGTCATTTTTGGCATAACAATGCAAGAAAAATGCTTTACACAGTCTAGATCTAGTTCTTTTGAATTTCCAATTACTTGATTCAATAAGATTGCACTTCAAAGAGAATACTTTGCCAATACCAATACAGTTGTTACCCATGACAAATGACTCTTACAAACAGATATCACCTTTCAAAAAAAAATAGGCAGGTTACAGTTTTGTATTGGTTAAAATGTATAGAGATCAGTAGCAAATATTCAGATACTTTTCGAATAATTTAATTTTTCTGCCAGGGCATATGCATTACCTTGTACAAAACAAATAGATCAAAATAAGTAAACACCAACATGAAATTTAATTGTTAGCATCAATACTAATATGATAATCAATAGACAGATAATTATTAAATCATGTAACTATTAGGATGATCAAAAACATTAAAAATTCCTACTTAGGTACTCCTCCAACAAATAATGGTCCTTCAAAAGGTCCAGCTTCCTCTTCTTCTCCCAAGTCTCTCATTTCGCTATGTGAATTGACAGTAAAACGCATATGATGCGTATCGTGATCCACCCAAACCTGTTGCCATTCTCCGGTACTAAGTTTACGACCAGATTTTACTATTACACTTTCAGGCTTTCCGTTGACTGTATATTCAAATGATAGCTCGTAATCTAAATAGTAAAATAGAATAAAATAATTTCAGTATACTTTTTTCTAAAAAATACACAATGTTTGTTGGAATTCACTTATATTAATTAGATTTAAAATTATATTTATTTACCATTTATTAACAGTACTCTGAAATATCCATGTGTTGTGTGCACTGCAGCTTGATATACCAAAACGGCCCTGTTATTAGAAGTTCGAAAACTAAATGCCATATCTCCTCTGTACCAGCCAGGTACTTCAACAGAAGAAACGGGAGTTTTAAAAGTGATAACATATTGCTGGGTATCTACAATTATAAAATTAGTCACACAAAATTAATTTAGAATAAAGATTGTCTACTTATCAATAAAATTTATGTTGAATATTAACATTTAATTAACAACAAATGAGATTTTTTGATTTTCCAATTATTTTATGAACCAATATTTTTATAAACTTAATGTTTAAAAATATAAATGGCTTTAAAATTTTTGAAATATACAACTATTATTTGATGTAGTTTGACACAGTTGTACTGTTCCACTACTTTATTGCAGGAAGTTAAATATCTAAGAATCTTATAAGCTAATTGCTTAAAATAAAATCTTGACCAAAAAATCTATTCAGAAAATTACTAATGATGAGTAACAAACATATTACTTTACCTGTTTCCACACAGTCTAATTGCCCGATTGATAAACGTGCTTCGGCATCAGCTGCTGTATTAGGAGGCTGAAGAATATACACTCTCGTTATACCCAAATCTTTGCGATCTGTGTAAGTACTTTCATCGACCCGCCATCTGGCATCACTGATGTCGCAATTACACATTAATGACGAATTGGCACAACTTCTTGTTTCCGAACAGGGACATCTTCCTGAAGAGAGATTACTACCAATGGTTGTAACATAATGTCCCGAAGCAGAAGATTCCATCCAAGTATATGTTCTCAATCTATTTATAAATAAGTTTGTTAATAATATCTTTTTTTATTACTCTCAATTGAAAAATGCTATAAATGCTAAATTATTTACCCAAGTGGCATTTTGAAACATTCATATTTGATATCTTGAGTACATTGCTTAGAATGTGTAATTAGTGACTGCAACATTGGTGGAGTAAATTCTTGATAAGTAATATCAAAGTAAAATCCTTCCATTCCATGTTTTCTAATAATCTAGAACAGTTTTTAAAAATTAATATTAAATTGTAAATAAAATTTTTAATTGAATAATACCATAACAGGTGGAGAAACACAACAATATAGCAATCACCAAAATAGTTTAACCTAACTTAAGCTAAACAAACTTAATATGAAAAAATAGGGAGAATGTTATTATGATAACTCCAATGTGGCCATTACAGAATATAGAGCAAAAATACCATATGGTAGATGATAAATAAAAAAATTAAGTATTGATTGGCAACCAGAGGAAAGCTCAACAATTTACAAAATAACAGTCATTTACACAAATTAAATAAGTCTTTAAAATTTATTAATTATTATGTTATTTAGTATTATATTATCTCGTATTCATTAATTTTGTTCACCACTGAATTTAAATTATAAATTTGAATAAACTGAAATAAAATATTTTCTAAAACATGTTACTAAATTAAAAATGCACCTTTAAGATTAATATTTTGTAGTAATTAATTTTGTTTTCTGTTTTATAGAAAGTAAAATATACAGTGTATCCACTAAAATATCTGTCTAAGAGCAAAATAAATCTTCCTACCATTATATGAGCTTATGCCTGCAATGAATGCTTATTCCAACACTAAAATAACCAAAAGGAATCAATTTAAGACAATTTAACATAATATACTAATCATCTCTGACTATGTGGAATGAAAACAGTGAGCTTTATTTTGTTAGAGAATACATTCAAATGACCATCTTTGGCGGTAACACAAAGACATAGTAGAGCACGGTGTTATGGATGGCACATGGCATTCCCAGCATCACCATTTTGTGGGCCTTTCATGTGTGTCTCTCTGGTTCATCAACATCACACGGTACTGCAAGGTACGCATTGCATACTAATGCTTTAGGTGACTAAACAATAAAAAATTCAGAGGGAGTTAAGTCTGGGTTAGGTAGAGCCATTGTCATAACCAACAGTTGCCAAGCAACTCTGCAAGCCACTGATGTCTATCAGGAATGAGCTGGCACACCATTGTGCTGGTACCAAATCTGCAATAGTTGCTTTTTTTACATGTCCCTTTTATCAACTGATTTATTTTATTTTACTGAATTTATGAATTAATTATTATTGTGGAATTTTTAAATGAATTAATCTTTTGCCCTAGAAAGATATTTAATAAGCAGTTATTTTAGCAATGGAACAAGCATGCACCATCTGCATATACTCATGCAATGCTCCTGCTCTCAGACAAGTTAAAGTGTAATGCTCCCTGTAAAAGAAAAGCCTCATTTTTGCCAAGACAGATAGTTTGTCTGAAATAGAAAAGTTTTCACTTTATTCATCTTTCAAAATGAAAAAGATATGCTGTGGCTACATGCTTGTTTATTATTATTATTATTATTCAATGACCACACAGCAAATAGGGTAGAAATGCTGGTTAACATAAAACCACAAGTCGAACACTTCCCAAGCGTTTAAGACTGTGTGATATACCTTCGAATGATGTGAGCAGATCCAAGTAAGGTGGCCTTTTGCAACTGACAGATAGTAATTTTGTCAATATTTATGGCTTGTAGGTGCTGACTAAGATTTTTTGGCACAGCCCCCAGTGCACCAATAATCACTGGGACCACCTGTACTGGTTTATGCCAGAGACGTTGCAGTTCAATTTTTAGGTCCTGATATCGGCTAAGTTTTTNTTATAAATACAAAAAATAATGTTTCTCTGCTTAAAAAATTATGTTAAATTATATCCTATATAATTTTTAAACACAAGTTATTCTTTCAAAGGTGATACTTAACTCAACTACAGATAATTATTTAACAACAAAAAAAAATTTAAAAATACTACTTACTTCCATCAGATTCTCTATCTTCTTCTATCAAAAGAGATCCTTCTGGAGTTAATGATGCCAAGATATATCTTGTTCTTTAAACCAGAAATAAAGTTTAACAGATAATAATATCATGCGTATATCAAAATTATTGATTTAAAGTTTTACCTCTGAGCAATCTGAATAAAAAGCAGAGCCTGTCTCACTTCGGCCGTACCGTCGATAGAAAATGCCAATCGGATGCTCAGCGTATCTGGTGCAGTCGGAGGGAGATTGAAAGTGTAGGTGGCTGTAGACTTACCGTCAAAAATTCCTCCGATATCTTAAATTATGAAAAAATATCAACAAAATGATTTTTATAGAAACAAATGTGTGTTTTAAATACAGTAATTCTTAAGAAATTATTCAAAATCTTTATTTTCTAGTAACGAGGTGAGAACCGTAGAAGACTAACTTAGATACTGGAAAGCAGAAGAAAAGAAATTCTTGTGTTTGATATTCGAGTTTCTTGACTTAACAAGAGACTCGAATACTCACACTTGAGAACTTTCAAGATTATGGCAACAATTTTAGGACTGGTAAAGTGTCTCATTGTAGGCAAAGTCATCCAAAGATAACAGCTCTACAGTGATCACTATCTTTTCTTAATGGGAAGTTAACGATTGGCTAGAATTTTCTTTAGCCACTGGGACAATTTCAAGTATTAAGATTTTGACAAAAGTGATCTTTATATCTACATTTCTATATCTCTTGATCCTTATCACAGAAAATCTTGTTTGAACTGCACAGACAATATAACTATGGGATCCTAATCAATGTTTTTGTAATGAAATCCAATTTGCATTGATTATGTGTTTTTATTTGATGAGAATATGGGAATTGTAATTGTCTTTCCATCATCCTGGAAAGAAACGTCTGTGGTAGCAACATGCTAATCTGAGACAATGTTATATTAAAAATGAATATAAATGTGGTTTTAACTTAACTTTTAATATAATTTTTATCTATTTAACGGTACATGTATTTACTGAAAATAAGCGCATTCTGAAGTACATGCTTCAACTTGTGTCCAGATCATTTGTTAAAGTGGCACTGAAAGCAATTTTTACTTTCCCAGCTTTGTTATATATAACAGAGGAAAATGTGGTGATTGGTCAGACTTAATGATGAATTTACTCATTATTAGCATTTAAGGATTTTTATAAAACCTGTCCATACCCTCAAAATTAAGCTTTTTACTGTTAAAAGCATAAGAGCTCTCCTGATTTTATCCCTGCAAACTTTTATTTGTTCCTCAAATGAAAGAGGAAATAAAAGGACATGAAATCTAAAAATCAAGTTTATATTATTGTGACATTGAGTTGCATTTTTTAATAATCTTTTAATTTAAAAAATCATGTGACTTCCAGCTCCTAAGCTTTCCATATCTGGTCTCAATTTTCGTCTGTCTAACTCAATTCTCAAGATTAACAAAGGACAGATGCATGGATGGACAACAGTGAGTATGAACTGGTCTGCAATCTGAAAATTGCAGCTCAATAAGTGGCAAAATGAAATCCAAAGATATCACAAAAATGGTTTTGGCGACTTCTTTGATAGTTGTATACATGTGGAAAGAGCTTTGAAGATATTATAAAACATAAATTCAAATACCATACTAATATAAGTGCCAAAACTTTGGTTTGTTTTTCATTATGTGTTTGTGGGAGATACCATGATTTCTCAATTGCTCTATAAATGAGATATTTATCCAGTATGCTTAAATAAATAAATGAGATATTTGAGCGTAAGTAGGAATTTTCTTAGTATTCTGTTGAGATTCTTTTTCTTTTTATAGACAGTAATGTTTATTCAGTTGATTGCATTAATATTACAGTAAGATGGAAAAATGCACACCATGTATAATATCACAAAACAAAAGGGTTTTTTAATTCCATTAATGATTTTTCTCAAGAATAATTATATACAAAGAATAGATTAAAAAATCAAATGTCTGTGTTACAGTCAAAACCCGTTTTTAGTTAGAACGCGTTTTAACTAGTTGAAACTAGTTTATACTGAATGTCTTTGTTAAAACCCGTTTTGTCTAGTTAAAACTAGTTTAACTCAAATTCATTTTTGACTACAGTAAATTCTAGTTTTAACTAGACAAAACCGGTTTTGTCTAGTTAATTTACTGCTGTACATGTTTTGACTTTAGATCAG